AAAAAAAAAAAGCGAAAGAGGATTTTGTTAAAATTATAAAACTTTCTCGCCCCCCCCCCCCCCCCCCCCCCCTCCACTTACATTCTGATGTACAATCTCATTTTGGCTTTCGAAATTTTTACTTTTCGACTAAATACAGGCTGATCTTTAACCCACAGTTCCCTTTCACCACTTCTATATTTTTAATAACTATGTTTAACGAAGATTCTATAGAAGAAAGGATCTTTTTGTAATAGACAGTTGACACGATTGAACTCACTGTTCGTCGATAAATAAGCATTGAAAAAGTGGGATATCCAGTTTTCGAACAAATATATACACGTCTTCGCACTGTTCTTTTACGTCAATTAATTGTTTTAAATATTTTTCGTTGCTGAAATTCTGTTCCATATCCATGAATGTTTGAGAATATTGAAGTTCGAACTAGTTGATAACGAAATGTACACATCTATTTATATGGGTGACAAACATGAGCAGAGCGATGATGTTTGAGAGAAAACCCACATCCATCCACCATTGACTAGCCAAAGGCGGCAAATACTTTCCATTCTCTCTCCCTCTCCTTCGTTACTGAACAACATGATCGAGGTATAAAAAATACAAATGAACGACCCGTTAAATTGATCTTTGTTACGATGTCCTAGTTCAGTACAATGTAAAAAGCTAACACACAGATCATTCAAGTTTAGCTTTCCAGTTGAGCGTATGACGACAAATCTTTTCAAGAGAACGATTGCAAAAAAAATCATCCATACACTTCGCATATACGTCCCAGTCCATGGGTGGCAAAAGACTTGCCATAGACTGACTAGAAATACGTATGTTGAGATTAATAAATTGAAGCTGTCAATCAATATACCGTGTGTTTGATTTGAGTGAAAAGCATGACGATTCACTATGACTTTGTACTATACAGTAAACATCGTTGATATGATATATCATACCTTTGATCATTTTTCCTGTCATTAATAGTATCTCGTATGTTGATTGTATTAGAAGTACGTTTTTGAATTGCAAAAGCAAATCTGAGTTTCGAGAAAAAGAAATGTATTATTCGAACGCCATCTTGATGCGTAACATCAATGTCGCCAGTTGCTGGTTGGAAAGAAAAACAACTCCTTTTTTTTTTATTCTATCTTTTCACATTGCATGACTCATCGGAGTGAGACTTCCGTTTGGTTTAAATGGCTGGCTTGAGTATTTTTATTTTATCTCTAGTTTGATTAAACTTTTATTTATTTTTCCTCTTTCAGGAAAATATTTTTTCGCTGAAAGCTAAAACCAGAAAATATCTCAGCTTGAATCATTCAATTTAATTATCGTACGCAACGAAATAGAGGAGAAAAACATAATTTCATCGTGCATAAGCAATATCGTCTTATGTCTTACTTAACCATGATGTTATTATTTACTTTTGTATCGAAATATTTCGACATGCCGAGAATATTTAGTTGTTTTTTGTTTTTCTTTCATAAATGACTCATGATGTTTGTTACACATGTCAGGTTAAGTTTTGCAATTTCTGTTTTCTTCTAGATAGTCTTGTATTTGGTGTACACATTCTTCAGTTGCTTTGTGTGTGCGTGTGTATTGTGTGTTTTTTTTTCTAAATAAAGTTTTTCAATGACGGCTAAAGAAGATTTAGTCGAACCCAATACAAATGGAGATGGCCGACCAGTTATAACACCAACAACGGTCAATTTAACCGAACAACAACAACAACAGACGCCACCACCTGATTATGAAACTTCAATCAAACAAGAGAATGAGATCGAAGAAGTTGAGGACGACAATGAAACTGGTAAATAAACGAAAATCATCTAGTTAAGTATGTTGATTTGAATTCTACCTAGTTGTTTTTGATGACAATGGTGAACCGAAATTTCCCACTGATGACTTAATGAAACTTGAAGAACAACTCAACCGAGTGCGATGGATTGTTCCTGTTCTAGCTGATGGCGAATTGATAAAATGCTTACGAGCTGCTGTTCGTCTTGCTCGCGAAAGTATATTTACAACAATTTCGAATCAATCTGTATACTTACTGATTTCTATTTGTTAGAACTTGATACAAAAAGCGAAGCATGTCAACGATTTATTCGTGATAGTCTTGTTATTTCATTTACGAAAATCTTTTGTGATGATGCTGTTCAATCATGGAAATATGAAATATACGTAGGTTGATTTGTCAAAGAAAAAGCTTTCGATCAAAGATTAACTTTTGCTTAGCGTGCTATTTATAAAAATGCCATGGTTTGTGTTCGATTATGTGTATTGAAGTTAGACGATGATTGTTTACCCTTATTGGAAATTCTTAGTTTTATTATGAATCCGCAAGGACGGTAAGATGATCTTGTTGAAAATAGAGATATGAATATAGCGTGCTGATTCCATCATGTTTAGTTATCATCAAGTAAATTACAATCGAGGGTGCTTGTATCAACTGCAAAATACTACCGAACCTTTCTCACCATCATTAGAATATCGTGGTGCCCAACGAGTATGTCTTTTCTTGACAAATTCGTCATGTTTACATTCTCGAAATCATGTTTCAGGGTTGGTTAGTTGATTTGATAAATAAATTCGGTGATCTTGGCGGTTTTGACAAACTTCTTGCTCGTTTTACTTCGTCTGAAACCAAATTGACAATCTCCCTCGTCGTTGCATTACTCAAACCATGGGGTCTTTGTTATGATTATTTAACACAATCAACAATAAAAAAATACTTCGAACCAATCATTGTAAGATTTATTCGATCAATCTGAATGAAAGTGAACTAATTCATTTTGTCATTAGGAATTTGTTTCACAATATCTTGATCAATTATCAGAAAATGATCTTAAAATGGAGACGAAAAGTGAATCAAAGAGTGATACGTTATCAGCAGTCATCAAATGGCTTCGTCATCTTGCATCACGTATACCTGAAAACGATAAAGCATGTCGAAAATTAGACGTACTTCGTCTCAAAATAATCTTACGGTACGAAAACATCAAGATAAGCAATAGTTGATTGTAAATCATCTATTTAGGCTTTTACAAACCAATTCTTTCAGCGGGAAAATGAATGCACTTAATGAAGTGAACAAACTCCTTCCAAATCTTAGTTCCACTTACCGTACAACATTCAATCGGCCAGATGATATGGATAGTTTAACATCCGACAAATTCATTGTGAGATTCATCTCGATCTCTCCTTGCATTCGATTCGAATTTTCTTTCTCGTTCGTAGAAATGGCTTCAGGAGAACGCTATTCTTGATATTGTCCTACGCGACTGTTTGCATCAACCTCAATATGTTGAAAAATTAGAAAAACTTCTTCGATTTATTATTAAAGAACAAGCATTAAGCCGCAATGATTTAGCGAAAATCTGGAATGCTTCGTGTGGGAAACATGAAGCGATCGAAAAGAATGTTCACGATTTGTTAGCGAAGTTAGCGTGGGACTTTACCCCGGAACAATTGGAACAATTATTTGATTGCTTTCGAGTACAGTAGCACATGTTTTCAATAATTTGCTAAACTCGAAATTCATTGTAGGAAAGTTGGACGAAAGCGAGTAAGAAACAACGTGAAAAACTACTCGAACTTATCCGAAGATTAGCTGAAGATGATAAAGAAGGTCTCATGGCCAATAAAGTATGATCAGCATTTCTTCTCAAACGTTCATCCTAGTTGACCTATGTAGGTTTTGGAATTATTATGGAATATTTCTCATGATGAACATCTACCAACTGAAATTATCGAACAAGCTTTAGCAGCACATTTGAAAATTCTCGATTATAGTTACGTATCGGTAGGTAACGAACAGATAGTCGAACAATTTATGCATTATATGTGAAAATTTCCTAGGAAAAAGATAAAACAAAAATTGCTTGGATTGATCGAATCTTGGATGAAATCAAACAAGGTCAACATGTCCTATTTTCCATTAAACACATCCGAGAAATCTGTTCCCAATTTCATGACGTTAGTTGTTCGACCATCGTCTTTCTATTTAATGAAAGATGAACTCTTTATCTCTAGAGCACATATCCACATAGCAGTTCTCGCATGGGCACTCCTTTCAATCGACTGACGATAATCGATACGCTAGAAAAGAACCACAAATTAAGTAGTGTCATCACTAAAGATCTTTGTCATTATATGGATAACGTACGACGACATCAAGATGGTAGGAAAAACATTATTTTGATTATTAGTTTGTTTTTGGATAAAAACGCCTTTGTAGAAAACAAGATTTTACCACCAGAAGATTTCTATCCAGATGGGCGTTTCAATCACAATTATCAAATTCATGAACGTTTAACTTTTCTCAAGTAAATCTTTTTAAGGTTAAACGAAAAAACGGTGATTCTACTTTGCGATCGATAGGTTTATTTTGAAAGATGGCCGTCAATATTTAGGAGCCGAGAACATGAAACAGATATGGCTGTGTCTTGCCGAACGTCCTATTTACTCTCAAGATCGTGAACAGTGTTTTCGTTGGTTTGCTGATGTAAGATAATGTGTGACATACTTGAAAAATGATGTTCATGTATCCATTTAGATTATTGATGATGTTGGATTTGAATCGAGATCAGGAAAAGAATTCTTTCAAAATCAATTTATGAAATTAGATCCTCATCATCTAACTGATCTTGGAATGAAGTAAGAAAGGATGCGTCACGAAATGTTGAGGTAATTGAGTAGTTATTTCTAGTTGTTTCGATCGATTTTTCAAATCTGTCAATGCTCAATCGAATAAATTTCAACAAAAACGCCGTTCCGTTCGACTGATCAGTGACGAAGATCTTATCGGTGGTGAATATCTCTGGAAAGTAATCCTTAATGGTTCTGATGAAGTTGCTAATCGTGGTATTCAATTAATTAAAGAAATTTATACAAATATAAGTCCGCAATTAAAAACTGAAGTTAAACGCATTCATCAGACATTTATGGGAGAATGCTTTTCTCGACTGAAACATGTTTACGGACAAATTAAAAGCAAGTCAACACCACAGGGGATTGTTGCTTTAATTCGTTTATTGACTGTGCTGAGAGAATATTTAGCTGAATGTGATTATTCCTATCATAAGGATCGAAATGTTTTACCGATGGCGAGGTAGGAAAAAAAGCAATCAGAAGAGATAGACAATTAAGCATTTGATACATTTTAGAGCGTACCGTGGTCGACCAGTCATAATGTCTATTCGTTTTCCGACGACTCAGAATCGACAAGGCGAAGATTTCGATTATCAATGTCATTCGAATGATACCTGGGGACAAATACGACGAATGATTTGCAATCGGTAAATGCACATAGTTGAACTGACGATTAAGAATGAGCCTATTTCATTTAGATACAAGACATCCTGCAATGTTCTAGAACTACTTCGAAATAACGATTTAATCTACCCAGTCGATGATAACAAAACATTAGGCCAAACTGATGGACGAGATCGAATAGTAAGCAAACAATTTCAAAAAATTCTCCAATAAACGATTTGATTGTATTTAGACAATATCAGTTCGATGGGTCCAACACTCATCCCATGCCGGTTCGAGTGGTGACAGCAGTTCATCTGAATCGGAAATAAATAACAGTGTGTCGATGTCGATGTCTCATCAAAACCGAATACCCGATGGAATTGATATCAGTGCTGAAAATGTCTTACCATCCGTAGTAAGTATACCTTCTAGATTGAATCTAGCGATAATTTACATATCAGTCTAGACAACAAACTCTTCATATCGAATGATGTTTATTTCTTGTTTAGTTATTCTCCCAAAAACATGAGTATTATCAATTTTTAATTGAAATATCGGATTTGGGATGCAAAGAACAGAATACACGTCTTCGTGATACGGCTCGTCATATTCTCGATCTAGTGCCTGTTGATCCCGAAGCTAAAATAACTTTTACGAATTGCTTTCAGAATATGAAACCTAATTCGGAAGAAAGTGCAAATCGTATTAGGAAATTCTATTTCCATTCATCACCGACCCAAATATTATACAATCTGAAAACAACATTGATTCGACTTGCTCCGGCATCCTTCACTTCGGCAGATATGAACGAAATCGAAGTTTTGCATGTCTTCTTTCTTCATACGGGTGGTCTAACATGTCTATTATACATTTTAACACAGAAGCAATTTACCGATCAATGTGATACAGCAACAAGAAAGTCGATCTATTTATTCACACTGTCGATCCTCAAACGTCTTCTCATTATTCTTGGTTACTACCAAGTCAAAACAGCGAACTCACCTGTTTATCAAATGTCATTAGAACACATTCTGAATGTGATGCCTGTCACAACGATTTATAATGAACAACAAATGTCAATATCGTTGGAGTTTCGTATTGCGAGTTTGCTACTTCAACATGCCACGAATTATCCCATTCCAAAAAAGTCATTCTTACAATATGAAGACATTTTGGAACTGATTCGATTGATCTGGTGTTTAGCGTCGAATAATAAACAGAGTTCGTTTGAAGACTGTCTGAAAAGTGATTTCGATTTTATTCACCAAGCTTTTAAACAAGATAATGTAAGTTCAATCGAATATCGAAAAAGATACACCTGACGAACATTGATTATTTAATTGTAGTTTGATCCAAACGAACAATTTGAGTTCAATGATTTTTCTGAAGAAGACGAAGAGAGTCAACAAGCATGTCGAGAAGGTTTAGAACTGCTCTGTATGTCCATTGCATTAGTACCATCATGTGTGGAACGTTTAATCCAAGAAAATTTCTTCGAATATTTTCTCATCGATCTCGTTCTCTATTGTCATTACCCAGCAATACGTCACACAGCATCGGATCAAATCTTTCTCCTCACTACTCACTGCGCCCAAGGTCAGCACGAAAATTTAGTTAAATATCTTATTGATAAACAATTTCAAATCTTCAATACTCATCCTGATTCGATGAAAACGTATTCATCCTACTCATTGGATTTCTTTCAATTGTTATGCCGTTTATTATCATTTGCCTATCTCAATCATATAACACCATCGAATATTAAACAACAGTTGCATGATGAAATGACTTGGTTAACAACGCTTCAATTGCCTGTTGATGACCATTTACTTCGTGGTCATTTGAATCTAGCGAAAGAATTATTACAATTTCAAACCAGTGAACTGAAGCGGTTCTATGGCATTGAACAATCGTTAATTCAGCGATTAATCGAACAATTTCTGTTTCCGCCATCGACATTGCTCAGCCAAGTTCGTTCATTGAAACAAAAGCAACTGACAAATATGACTGCGGACACTGAATATAATGAACTCATAGAACCACCGGTTCCCATTTGTCAATCACCTATGACTACATCAGCAGCATTTGATTTGTTGGTTATCTTAGGAACTGATTGTATTGATAATTTGAAACTGATCGATAAATATCTTACAGATCTCTTCTACTCAGGTATGAAGCATTCGTTTTCTCCTCTTGAGACCAAAAAACCAATCGAAATCCTTTTTAGCACCTGATTCAGCCTTAACTGAATGGGATTTTTCATTACCAATCGGATCACGTCCCAATCAAGGATTTGTTGGATTGAAAAATGCTTGTGCTACCTGTTATATGAACTCTGTTCTTCAGCAGTTATTTATGATTAAACCCATCCGAACAGCTTTGTTAGCAGTGAAAATTCCACCTGAATATGGTGAGGATGAATTCGATGAAGATGACGTACGTCGAGAAACGGTACGTGGCTGTTATATTCAACAGATAACTAGAGAAATTGAATTTGTTTTAGTCGAGTGGAAACACCGACTCGAAGTCGTCTGCAAAAGACAAGTCAGCTACTGTGTCGCCAGCAAAAAATGATCCAAATGAATACCACATACAAATATTACGACAAATCCAGCGAATCTTTGGACATTGCCTCGATTCCAAACTACAATATTACGTTCCTCGAGGTTTTTGGAAACTATTCAAGTAAGAACGAATGTTTCACTTCATTGGACACACTCACGTTCTTTTCGTTAACGTAGATTTGCAGGCGAAGCGGTCAATGTACGTGAACAACAAGATGCCGTGGAATTCTTAAACACTGTCATTGATAATATTGATGAAGCATTAAAAGTCTTGAAATTACCACAAATATGTTCACGAGTTTTACGTGGCACATTTGCGGATCAAAAGATCTGTAAAGATTGCCCGCATCGGTATGGATTTTTTTCTATTCTCTGAGTATTCTTCACTTATGTTACTTTTAGTTACACACGTGACGAAGATTTCACATTGTTAAGTGTTGATATTCGTCATAGTCAAAATCTGAAAGAATCCCTCGAACAGTATGTCATCGGAGAATTGTTAGACGGTCCGAATGCATACTTTTGTGAAAAATGTAACAAAACGGTAAGAATCAAAACAAACCTGTGTAAATCTACACTGTATTCGAATGTTTGACATTCAGATTGATACGGTCAAACGAACTTGTTTTAAACGCTTACCACCTATGTTGGCTATACAATTGAAACGATTCGATTATGATTGGGAACGTGAAACACCTATTAAATTTAATGATTACTTCGAATTTCCAAGGGAATTAGATATGGAACCCTACACAGTGCAAGGTCTTGCAAGAGCAGAAGGTATGTCCGATGGATTTGATTCAATCTGTTAACGAATGTCAATTTCGCTTTAGGCACATCGATAATCGATGAAAATGATACGGACAATCAGAATACCAATGATGATGGTACCCGTTATAAACTTGTAGGTATTATTGTTCACATGGGACAAGCGAATGGTGGTCATTACTATTCCTTCATTCAACATAAGTAAGAATTTGTTTGAACAAAGCCTCATGTTACTATATGTCTTGTGATAGCGATGAATCGGATGATTCGAATTATTCTCAATGGTATAAATTTGACGATACGGATGTTAGCGAATGTAAAATGAATGATGACGAAGAACTTCGATCCCAGTGTTTCGGTGGCGATCATAGCACATCGCCATTTGATCAACCAGTTATAAAACGGTAAGACTAATTTCTAACACATCCATTGTTATGAATATATCTTCTTCTAGACAACGTCGCTGCTGGAACGCGTACATTCTATTCTATGAAAAATTGCCAACAAATAGTGTTGATCCAATCAAAGTTCTCGAGAAAGACTTGAGCCAACTTGAATTATGTATACTATTTTACGAATGAATCAATATATTCTCATGTATTGTTTCATTCTAGACGACAAAACTCAACGCATGCCATTATCTGTTCAACGAAGTGTTCGAAAGCAAAATATTAAGTTTCTTCATAATCGAATCCTCTTCAGTCCGGAATATTTCTTGTTCATCAGAAGACTTGTACATAGCAATGTACAACAGCTAGTACTTCTTATCCAACAGCAACAGCAACAACAGGAAGAGAAGGATTCCTTGACAAATGTAATTCATTCTTCAATCAAATTCGCAAAACATTTTTCGTCAAATTTTAGGCCATTGAAGAATTAGCACTAATAGCGATTCAAATAACCGCAAAATTCCTTTTCACCATCGGATGGCATACGAAGAAGTCACTTCGGTTTGTAATCGACTTGATATGCTCGACTTTTGTTTAATAAATAATTCATTTTTACAGTGGCGCAGCTAGCGAATGGACCGAATTAGTCACCCACTGTTTACGTTACTCCCGTCGTGCTCGACAATACTTTGTTGAAGAAGTTTTATTTAAACATCCGAATCGTTTCCACGAATACCTTATCGACTGTATGTCAGCAGACGTAAGTTCTACGAAATCTTCTTTTCTCGTTCAAATTTCAATCACTTCTAACTGATAGATTCGTAACGTATTTGGTCGAATATTGGTCACACTGGCGACTCACTCTCGACAAGATGAACAACATAATGTTGAGAATGCCACAGGTGTGTATCAACGAGAGAAAAATGAAAGAATTGATTGTTTGTTTTTCTTGATAGATGACATGACTGTTGAAGAAAAGATTTTGAATTCTGTTATACGTTTAATGAAAAAAGATGGACCAGATAACTTGAAAATGTCTGCACAATATTTTCAATTTTTTATCAATTATTCTTCTCAAGGCCGCTATGAAGTATGTAGAACACTTTTCCCGACCAAAATCTATGTTGTACTTCGTTCGTAGTGTGAACAATTAATTCGTCTGAACGTTCCATTGATGTTGGCTAAAATGATTGCTGACGATTTATCATCAACGTCAATACATCGCTACGGTGAACCGTCAAAATTGTCCATTATCCTATCCACATTAATCCGGTGTTTTGATGTTTCAAGCTTATGTAAATCGAGTCATGTAAGAGTAGAATTGAAATTGAGGGAAGAGTCATGAACATTTCTTTGTAAATTTAGCCCGATGAAAAAGTTTTACCTAATCCGTATCGAACCTATGACAGCGGTCCGATTTGCCCGATTCCTAATGGACTAATCGAGTTATTATACAAACGCGATCATTTGTTAAAGAAACTTATCGAAGATGCCGGTACATGCGAAGAATTGACACGTTTTCTTCGCTTTGTTATCTGGGAAAATCCGGACGTCACAGCAGTGGCACTACGCGATATTTTGACATTAGTAAGTATTTCCTAGAATCGTCCTGAAATGACATTTCGACGAATTTTTCTATCTAGCCATCAATGTACTACTCCGGCGATCTACGCACTCATCTTGAGATTCTATCTATGGTGCTGTTGATGGAAGATTCTTGGCAAGAAGCTCGTCTCCTATATGCATTGAAAGGTATTCCAATAAACAATGAAATGAGTCCGACGATCGACGAACCTTCTTCACCGACAACAACTTTGAATAATAATAACTGCTATAGTAATGATGTTGTTCAATCGTTGTTTGATTTATACTCGAAATCGAAATCAAGTAATGAAAAACGAGCCTATCAATTCATGAAAACTTTATTACAAATTTTTACAAAGTAAATACTGTCATCTTCTCATTCATCAGATATTTCTAATGAATCTTCTGTTTAGTTGTCCCAAAGCATATCAACTCCTTCAAACGGATCAAGAGTTGAAAGACAGTTGGATACAAGCTGTTCGCTGGTTACATGATCAACTCGAAGTAACATAAAATAAATCTCATTCGATCTGTCTCAACTGATTTTTCTTTAGCGACCAAATTACATTCCATCATTCTATTCCTCTCAAGGACAAGTGACTAGTAACGATTTATCACAAGGATGTTTTCTTGAACGAACACAAAGCGCAAAATCAGTATTGGCTAAAGCCGGTGAATTATGTTCGGATAAAGTAAAACGGGTTCTTCACGTCTGTCGCATGTCACTTGAATCTTTTTCTCTAGGAAAATGACGACGATGATGAAGACGACAATTCCAACGATATCGTTGAAATGGATGCGGAGACAAACATTCAACATATACTGCCTACTTATCATAAATAAAGCCAATCAATTTTGTACGTTTGAAATCTGTACGAGACAAACTTCTTCTTTCGTTCCGATTCTTCTCTTCAATTCCCGATATATAGACAAAGTCTGTATATGTCTGAAAATCTTCTCCTTCTACTTTGCGCTCTTGTAAAAACCAAATGTGTTTTCTATTTTTTATTTTCTACTAAAATAACCAATTCTATCAAAATTCGATTTTTTTTCTTCTTTTTTTCTTCTGTACATTTGTGTTTTGTCGTGGAAAGCAGGTTATTATTATTTCTCTTCAATTCAAGTATTTCGACGATCATGATCATACGGAACCTGTGCAACTCAGCTGTGGCTATTTTGTTTGCGAGTGTGTGTGTGCGTGTGTTCATCCTTCTTATTAATGCAGCTGTGTTTTTCAGTTTTATTTTCCTCATTTATTTTATTTTCTTTCTTTTTAATTCAGAAGCCCATATGCGCAAGAAACTTTAATAAATAAATCTATTTTCAATACATACAGAACTATTTATAATAACCCGCACCATGATCGTAAGCCGGCGAGAGACTATTTTGTAAAAGACGAAAGGGTATCAGTCTGCAGTCGCTCTCGGCAACAGAGCGTTATCGAATACTTTAGATGGAATCCTCAATACGTTGTGCTTACCATCTTGACTTTAGATGCGGTAGCCTATCTCCATGGAAAAGATGGAGCCTAATTATGTGAAGTTTTTGAATAGAAAGGAAGTGTCTCAATTCGTTATTTCCGAAATCTTCTGTATCCATCGAAGCATGGTCCTACGCGATCCAACTCTTCTGTCGAAATCAAGTGGATTATTTATATCGCATAATACCCTACAGGATTTGCTAAATATACAATAGTTAATACGTTTTGGCGCTGATTTTTCAGTAAACGTACTTTTCACTTATTATTCTTTGCAAAACAATATAAAACTTCTTCATTAGAGAAGATTAAAACATAGTTCGTGCAATCATACGAGTGTTCTTATATTTGATGCTACTTCGTATCTTTTCATCTCCGACAGATCTTGAGAACGATGTATTGTATGGAGTTCGAATCGAATGATCACGCCGATTTTAGTTCGTTTTGCAAATATGAGATAGTTGTCTCGCTTTTTTCTCCAACTATTTGTAACACTAATTCAGTCATTTGAGAAGTACTCTATGCATCAATTATATGTTCACGCCTTCATACATCTATCTCCATATATAATATGAAACAATCTCTATAAAGCTTTCGGATTTACTCATCGATTGTTGAACATCGATCGCTTTTTCCTACGTAAGTAATGAGTATAAGGATTCTCGAGTATGTACTCAAAGGATGTTACATGTCAATGTTCACACGCATGCAAATCTGTATACGCAATTAATTAACCTCCAGTAAGTCGTTAATTCTTTATTATTAGAGATCATTAATGCTAATGGCGGAATCTACAGAATAAAAGAAAGTGCTTTCAAAAACTACATCTCTTTCGTTTTATTAGAGAGTTGTTGAATTCATTATGATTTCTATGATTGAAGTCATGACATACGTTCAAGCTAGGAGCAAACTTGGTTCATCCCATTAAAACTTATATATATATACATAATCTTTCAATGAAGAACACATATTAATGAAGTCTCCTTTGAATGTCATAATTCAGAGCGTTATCTTCAGGTAATCCACATCAGAATCTCTAATGGAGACTATTAGTTTCATTGTGTGAAACGAAAGAAATTTACATATCATGCATTTAACCTAGAAGTTCTTTTTAGTCTTTTACTTTCTAGCGTGTAATCCTCTTGTATGTGTAAGGATTGAAAAAAACGTGCACTCATATCTATAGTTTGCTATCGAGTACACTTTCTTCTTCAGATTAAAGAAAACACCTACTGTCAAACATGTCTGTAGTTAGTATACTTTCATCTATTCAATTCTATCTTACAAATGCACTGGGGGCACTTCTGATTGTCGGAGTGATTGGAAACATCCTGAATTGTTTGGTATTTCTTCGCAAACGATTACGATCCAACCCATGTTCAGTCCTGTTCGCTGCAGCTTCAGTTGCCAATGCGGTGGTCATGATTTACTTCATCGTTCCCACCATTCATTCGTTATACAATTCGCCACCAGAAAATGCCAACTGGATCTATTGCAAACTTCGTTTATATATTCGTAATGCTCTATTAGTCATCTCTCGGTCTTATCTGTCATTGGCTTGTGTAGCATGCTACGCTCAATCATCCCGTAATGCTCGAATACGAGAACTTTTCCGACCAAAGATCGTTTTTCGACTTATCATTCTTGTTCCAATCATTTGGTTTATTATTCCTCTACACATTCCATTGTTAACAACAATTCAAAATGGAAAATGCTTAATGTGGGCAGGCGCAGCAGCTCTCTATCACTCGATTTACATTTGCTTTGTTGCTGCCATTCTGCCCACAGGTACAATGATAGTATTCAGTCTGTTAGCATTCAGAAATCTACAACAAATGAAACGAAATGTTCAACCCGCTGATGATTTACCGGCACATAATACTGAAAAATTACGCCTTCAACAACGTGATCGACAACTGAGCAAGATGTTATTCGTACAAATTATCGTTTATATGATCTTTACCTTCTCATATCCATTGAATACACTCTACAATGCTGTTGTTTTAATTATTGGTGGAACTAAATCAACTGAACGAACGACCATTGAAAACTTTGTACTATTTCTGACATCCAGTTTTCTTCTGAATTTCTACAGTGCTGCGTCATTTTTCGTCTTTTCAACATCCACGGCATTTCGAAAAGAACTAAGACAAGTCTTTGCTTTCATCGTACCAATAACAAACACAAACACAAAGCGTGGACATACAACGTATGTTACTTGATTTTGTAACGCATATTTAATATTTATTCGAGAACATTTAAAATTGTTGTCGTGATTTATTTCAATGTTATCAATAAACTTATGGAGAAAAGTCATCGAAATCGTATTATAAAAAACAGATCATTGTTCTCCTTGTTGATAGGAGACTAGCATAAATAGTCTTCTCTCAGAGTTTTTGCTTAGAAATAGTAGATTATCTTATATAAAAAAATGTTCCTGCTGTGAGCCGTTGATCTTTTAAAAGATTAGCTATTTCCATTTATGGATCGATTTGGATCAAATAGAGATGAGGGAGAGTATGAAAAAGACTTTCATTCTTCATTGCGTACGCAGTTAGATAGTCAAAAGCCTTACGAGCAGCTTCATTAATCACTTTATGTCCTTTGATTTCCTGTATACGATCAGATACTATTTCTTTGACAGTCTGCCTGATTGTGTCTGACTGGAATGACGTCATACATCATGTGCTTATAATGACTAAATGTCTGAATCTCTTGTCATGAACTTCGTATACTAATCATCAAAAGAATCTCAATACGTAGAGTGATTGATTTTAAACCTTTAATCGATGAGAGAAATTGTAGCTCTATATGACAATTGTACTTTCTCATACACATGAGTATAATCATTGAGGAAAGAGGTCAGTATGCTTCGATGTCAATTGACATTTTGCAACATAGATGTCGCGTGAAATATTCTAACAAAACATATTTCACAAATAAATGTTTATAACTTAGTTACAAGCAAGTGTTATCCGAAGAGAAATCGCGAGAGAAAAATTTTCTTTCTTTAGATTGCTTATCAGTCCGAATAATACCAAGGCTTAAACCAAAAAATTTTTTTTTTCCTCTTGCCTCGTCTTCTAGTTGTTTATTTGTTTATTTTAATCTCAATTGTTAAATTAAAACTATCAAGAACAATTAGATGAGTATGTAATCAAATGGACGGAGGTGAAACATCGATCTCTTATCAAAACGACAGTCAAACAACGGCGGCGACGATGGGGACAATCGATCCTCAACGCTCATTTTACACAGTACCTGGAATACTTCATTTTTTACAGCATGAATGGACAAGATTCGAAATTGAAAGGCAACAATGGGAAACGGAACGAGCAGAATTACAAGTAACAACCGGAGAAAACATTGTTCTACGGAAAACTTCATCGCGTGTCATTCTAGGCTCGAATCGCATTTCTTCAAGGCGAAAGACAAGGCCAAGAAAACTTAAAAAGTGCGCTCGTTAGACGAATTAAAATGCTTGAATATGCATTAAAACAAGAGAGGTGATTGAATGATTTCCGTCAATTGAAATAGGAGACCAACGTTTGCTTTTAGATTGAAATTTAACAAGCTAAAATATGGAAGTGAAAGTGTTCCATTAGAAGACCAGAAACCATCATCAAATGACGGACAAATGGACGATGGTAAATCAAAAGTGAATGAGTTATTTCATGTGAATATGCTTTGTTTTAGATGAAAACAAAGAAGAGTCGAATTTAACATTCGGTGGAAGTAGTGTTTCATTCAAACAAGGCCGACAGTTACTTCGACAGTAAGTTTTTAATTTGCTTTATAAAAAAAAACCAATCAGCTCGCTTTTCTTTAGATATTTAAAAGAAATCGGTTATGTCGATACGATCATTGATATCCGTTCAACGGCCGTTAAGAAACTACTAGGAATCAAAAGTGATACGAATTTGAATGGAAATAATGCAATTAATTCGCCGACACAAAATGTCAACGGAGATGTTAAAGCAACGAATGAATCCAAAAGGTATTAGACATAGCTTGTTCAAACACAGACGCTTGTCGATAGAGTTACAATGATAGAAGAGAAAGTGCAAGATTTATTTTGCGAGGAATACCTGTCAAAACGTTTCGATTTCATTTTTCTTTTAGAATCATTCCTAATATAATCAAGAATGCTTCAAACGAATTCGATAAATCTCTCGCATCATTAGATTTTCTCAAAGAAGATCCTGCTGATGAAGAATCAGCGTAAGCTAGAAAGCGTTGTTAGTTTCAGTTGTTAGCACACGACATTTGTTATATTCGTAGTGATGACCCGTTGGATACGAATCGTATCCTACTGAAATCTAACCATGGTAATCCATCTAATGCTAACCATCTTAATTCTGCGCTTGAACAACTCAATGATCTTGACAGCGAAGAAGCTGCTTTGCATGAATTTGACTTTCTTACCGGAGACGCTGCTACTGCCACGACTGGCTTAAGCATCAATGAGCTTAACTCAACTGGTATGCATAATTGTTTATCTAATCAAATATTGTCGATGCGGATTTCGTTTTCGACATAGGCACCGATGAATGGAATGTGGATCCATCACGGATCAATCGTCTGAAAGAAGAATACAAACGTGATCGTCAAGTTAAACAGGCCTATCAATCAACTACGATAACGAACGCCACATCTGCATCAATTCGTAAAAGTCTTTTGAATAATGGAAGTGCTGATATTCCTTCGGACCAACGATCATTTCCCGAAGAAGAACAGAGTAAGCAAAAACCTAGAGTCCAAACCTATGACTGTCTTGTTCTCGACTCATCTTCTAGTTGACTCAATGCTGTTTCGAAATAGTAAAAACTTCATGGGAGAAAACGCTATGGAAGGTCTCGATGAACTAGCACGTGTCACTGTGTCTAATGATAATGAACCTCAAGATGATGTACGAATATATTTGTTCTTATGTGTTATATATACATTTTGCTTTTGTAGACAACGACCAGCGATTCAGCGGATTCTCGAAAGACTTGGAATGTTAAATATGCTTTACGAAGGTTTGCTGTTCAAAGTTTTATCGAAGACAAATTCCAGGGTATTTTCTCTTTAGCCATTTGGATGGAGTACGTTGTGTAGGGTTTCATCCAGTTGAATCCATTGTTATAACTGGATCCGAGGATCGGACATTGAAACTATGGAATCTGGAGAAGTCTGCTATGATGAGAAAGTAAGATTGAAACTATTAAATAAAATTAGCTGAATGTGATTGTTTTAGATCGACAACAACAGCAACGCAAGATCTTGAACCAGTTTATACATTTCGGCGGCATACGTAGGACATAAAATACGCTTATGAAAACCGAGTGTACTAACTTCATTCTTGTTCTAGTGGTCCTGTTCTGTGTTTGGCAATGAACCCATCAGGTGAACAATTCTACAGTGGTGGTCTGGATTCGATTATTTCCGTTTGGAATCTTCCCAATCCCGAAATAGATTCCTATGATGCATATGGTAGAAACCAAGTCGCTAATATTCTTTTGAACTAGACTTTCTTCTTTTTTCATTCAGATTCAACTGTGTTAAACAAAGTGTTGGATGGACATACGGATGCTGTTTGGCAGTTAGTGATATCCGGTCAAAAACTATTGTCATGTTCAGCTGATAGAACCGTACGTTTATGGGATCCAAGTCTATCTCAACCGTTACAATCGACGTACTCTAGTAAGTGACATTCTTCACATTTTTTAATATGTTACTGTGTGTGTGTGTTTGTTGTTAATTAGGTGAAGGCATTCCGATATCAATTGATTGGTTAATGCAAGATACAAACCAATTTGTCGTTACTTATGATACATTCAAAACTTGCATCTACGATACTGAAACTGGTAAAATGTTGAGAGAACTGGTCAATGACGAGAGTTCATCTAAAGATGCTAATTATCGTATTAATCGATTAATTAGTCATCCGTCGCAGCCAATGATTATCACGGCCCATGACGACCGTAGCATTCGATATTTTGATAGTAATTCTGGTAAGAACGAACTTTCTTTTGGTTAGTATTTGTATTTGCTCCCTATAGGCCGTATGATCCATTCAATGGTCGCTCATCTCGATAGTGTAACTTGTCTAGTGATCGATCCTCAACAAACTTGTCTTCTTTCTGGCAGCCACGATCGTTCAATTCGTTTATGGGATTTCGAAAACAAAAACTGTATTCAAGAAATAACAGCACATCAAAAGAAAAATGATGAATCTATACATGATATTGCATTTCATTCCTCGAAACCATATATGGCTAGTGTAGGAGCTGATTCAATCGCCAAAATCTATGCTTGAAACACACCGTGAACGACGTTGACTTCTTCTTTCACTCTTCTGCCACTTTTTTTCTAGTTTTGTCTCGTGTACTCTATGTTTTCTTTTTCCATCATTTGTTCGACGATTCTTCATGTAAATAAATCACCACCAACGACAGATTTGTACGTGTCGACATATCTTTTCCCTCTCCTTCTTCTTCTCCATGAACAACTAATATCCTTCGACAGAATGTTAAACTTTTTCTTGCCTTCACTCCTCGCTCTTCTTCTTCTTCTTCTTTTTGTTGTCTTTTTTCGCTACATATCTATTCTATCTTGTATTTCTTGTCTTTTACTAAAAAAATATATTCAAACACTAAATTTCTAGCACGGCATGTGTGTGTAGGAAACACACGGAATGAAGTTTCTTCTTTATTAAATGGCGATACTGACGAATGAAAAAGCTGCCAGGCAATGAAGATATTTTCCTTCTCTATTAATCATCCACAACACCGGTTTGATCTGGATGCCCTTTCAATCCTCTATCAGCGCGGCAAATGATTGTCTTTCATTCTGTTCGTACACATAAATGACGATCATCAAGAGTACTTTTCTCCTTTTTCTTTTCCAATAATGATAGAAGGCATAGAATATAGATTATCTCCGACGTTTTCTCCTTCTTCTCTTGCCACATCTGTTCCAGATATTCTCAGTCGTATATATACGTCAGTTGTTTGTGTTATTCGTGCTCGATTTATCGCGAGAAAAATGCGTATCGGCAGAGACCGTTCACGGCACAGTTATCGAATCCATCATGGGAGGAAAATGTATGACGAACGACTAAAATATCGAAGTCACCGGTAAGAATATCAACAAAGCACTTCTATCTGAATTGTATTCATTTCGATTGTTCCAGTAACGACGACGACTATCACATTGATAGCAATGGAAATCCACCATCGCGTGGTTTAGAAAAATCTCGACATTATGCGAATGAAGAGTATTCATCTTCAAATCGAATAGCTAATGATTGTTTGAATTATTCATCGATGAGATTAGATCGTCAAAAGACTAGTCGTGACATTTACACACCTCCGTTAACTAATCTATCCGGTGGTCTATCTCCAACTGATCTGTACTATAGTTCATTATCAACACGTGGTCGGAATGCACTATCGCATTATCCCAATTCAGAACGGAGTCGATACCCATCACCACCACACCCACATCCATCAATATATCGGTAGAGTGAAGTGAATTGAATGAATGTTATCTTAATCGATCTTTGTTTTAGAAGAGACGCATCTCCTCGACCATCTTCATCTTATCGAGAAGATTATGTCCCTCGCAGTAATCACAATGAATCATATGTTTCTGATGATTATCGTTCGCTGACACCTGTATCTCTACGCAGTAACACAGATACGTACAACGACACGTATCAAACAAATGATTACACCAGTCGGCCCGAGCGATACGATATCACGCGTAAGTAATATCAGAACGATATGTTGTTGTTATTAATCTCAAGCTGTTCACACAGTTGTTGTTTATATTCTATGCTCATTAATAAGTGATTCACATCTCTGTTGACCGGATATAATCTGTCTTTACCTCGGGTAATTTGACCTGTTCATTAGTATTGCAAAACATCTTTAGTAAATTTTTACTTCGTTCAAGACATCGAGGTTTAATTGGTCAATTCTGTCTTCTAGCTAAACGGAATGGCTCGTCGAGAGATTATGCAATTGCTTCTATACCATCGCCTATCTATCGTTCTGATACATATCGAACATCATCAAGCATTCCACTATCTTCATCATCATCGTCATCATCCTCACTCCCATTAACTTCTTCATCTTCATCGTTATATACTACTCGTGAGCAATATAGTCAAGCGTTTCCATCTGGCCAAGAAATCGATTATCGATCGCGAACTTATGGAATGGAAACACCGACGGATTCTCGCCATATAAATTCGAATAAGACGTCGAGTCGTTATTATGCTGAGAATGAAGACGATCAGTATCGTTCGTCGTCGTATTCGAATCGCTCGAATTTCAAACGTTCAAGAACTAGTTACATCGAAAACGAATACAAACGATCGCTAAGACGCTGGGAATAGTCACATCTGGTGTTTTTCTCCATCGCATTTTAGCTCGATTCCAAACGCAACTCCTCAGTGTGCATATATCCGGATATTTGCATCAAGTTTGCATTGTTTTTTTCAACATATGTGTACGAATGATCTAAATAAAATTATGTAAAATACTTCTATACTATTAAAGGAATGGCATGGCATTGAACAGATGAGTGGGAAGAGAGAAAGGCACCCAGCTCTTCAATTTGTTCTTTTTTGATACGAACGACTAAGGAGACGAAGACGAAGAGTAACGATTGTGAAGGGAAGAGAAAAGAAAATAGTAGATGTTATGAATAGAACTAGAATTTTGTTCTAGTGGAAGCACACGATTGTTAGTTGTCGACTTCCAAGTAGTGCGTCGGTTCTCATACTGTTGTATTTTTTTGCCGAGAGAAAAAAAACGGGGAAGAACGGAGAATATATAAGACACATACAGGAAAAAAAATATAATTTTGTCATTAATGCGTGCACAATGCGAGACAGAGTGATCGCACAAAAACACTTCTAAGCTTGTTTCAAATAAATCGTCGCTATTTTCTCACCATATTACCCTCTTTCGTTCACTGATTTCAGATAGACGAAAAAATACAACGATGACTACATGGGACATGCACAAAAACATTCCCAAACGTTATATCTTAGGTTTATTGGCATTTCTCGGGTTTTTTAATGCGTTTATGCTTCGATCAAATCTATCGATAGCGATTGTATCTATGGTGACACCAACATTTCATATCACTCCATCTAATATAACCATAATCCAGCCGGTAAGAGCAAAAAGGACATGCTGTTTTGGTCTCATCGCAGAATATCAATATTGCTTCTTTTTTTTCTGCTTTTTATTCAAGACTGGATATAGTTGGAGCACTAAAACACAAGGTTATATTCTTTCCTCGTTTTTCTATAGCTATGCAGCTACTCAAATCCCAGCCGGATTTTTAGCGACGGTGTTAGGAGGACGACTCCTATTCGGTATGAGTATAGGTTTATGTGCACTATTAACATTATTGACACCATTGTGCGCTCATATTGGTCCGACGGCATTAATAATTCTTCGAATTCTTGAAGGTTTTGCTTCCGTAAGTTGTTTCAACAGAGAATGAAAGTCACTGTTTTGAATTTGTTTTGTCTATTTCAAGGGTTTTATTTACCCGTCGCTTCATTTCATCTGGTCGAAATGGGCGCCGAAAGATGATAAATCCAAACTAGCAACGATCGCATTTTCTGGTATGTCCTAATGAGCTCGATCTTATCTACGACTTGTGCACTTCTAGGCAGTTATTTCGGGACATTTGTAACCATATTTCTGGGTGGTTTTATTGCTGTTCATTGGTCATGGCAATGGATATTCTATTTATCTGGTAAATAGACACACAAAACAAGGATTATTGAAAAGAAATCCTCTTTGATTCCAATAGGATTATCTGGTCTATTGTGGACATTCTGTTGGTTTTACTTTTCTGCTGAGTCTCCCTCGACGCATTTGACGATATCCGAAGAAGAAGCAGCATATATTGAAGCGAATCTAGTTCATCCTGTATCACGAGTAAAAAAGTTGAGCTTTCCTTCTATTCAATCTCTGACGATTCGAAATTTGTAGAATTATTCCATTCCATGGAAAGATATCTTAACATCGCTTCCTGTCTGGGCGATTATTGCCGCAAATTTCGGTACGAATTGGTGTATCTATGTGATGCTGACTGAATTGCCAATATTTCTCTCGCGCGCACTTGGCTACCAAGTTGATCAGGTTCCATTACTTTACAATCATTCCAAAATTTTTCTTCAACTCTGCTCTCTAGGCTGGCGTTCTCGCAGGCATTCCTTGGCTACCGTTAGCTATTTTAGTTTCAGCCGCTGGAATTATTTCGGATCGTTTAACCCAACAGCATTCGACAGGATACGTTCGAAAATTGATTATGTCGATATGTAGATTGACAAACCTATCATTTCCTATTAAGTCTCTTTCGTTTCATTTCCTCTAGCGTTTATTTTTATCTCATTGGCTCTACTCATGGTTACTCTTTTGGACGCCCACCATCGTGCATTGATTATCATCGGCATTATCATCGCGACGAGTAGTTGCGGTCCGGCATGGGCGAGTTTCGGTGTGAATCATCTGGACATTGGAGCTTACTATGCCGGAATCTTGATGGGCGTATCGAATTGTCTTGGATCGATTCCGGGATTCTTAGTGCCGATCTTGACAGGTTATATCGTTGAAAATACACACGTAAGTTTGCTGTATTTTTCGAAGAAGATCTCTTACATGAAAAATTTCGTAGATTAAACGCGAATGGAATATCATCTTCATAATATCGATTGTGATCTGTGTATTTGTGTTGATGTTTTATACATCGTTTGCTTCGGGTGAACTACAACCATGGGCACGTGTCCATTCCGATGAATATCAACATGTTCTAAGCACTCCCATCGCATCTCGCGATCCTAGTCAAGCCGCTGGCTTGAATGATAACAATATCGATGATTTAACAGATCGATTGAAAGCAGAAATTCAACCAGAACAACCCGCCGAATGAAAATCAAATATCTATTTATTTATTTATTTTTGTTGTTCTTGTAGATTTGTTTTCTTTGTTGTTTCGTTTACTCAACTATTAAACCTAGTTGTGAGTACTAAATGTACACATTTAAACAGTGAATATCTATTCAATAAAGTATAATTATTGTTATTCGTTGGAAAAATCAACTATTCCGTCCGTAGCAGTGTCATGCAGGAGATGAATCTTTGCCCTGCCCTCGCACTGAAATTCCATTGTCATGTCTATTTCAAGGATCAAACTCATATCTTTTTTATTCATCGTTTCATCACTCCTAAAATAGAATTACTCTTTTGTAAAAACCGTCATTCTTGTCATGTGACATGGATTACTTTATTAACATGTTGAAGCTAAATTTATCTTTACTAAAGTTCTTTTTCCCCGCACTGTTCTCCGCCCCAAAGACACGCGTTGACACGTTCAGTAGAGAAAGTGAGATCGACGAGTTCAGTTCTTTCGTCGATGGTGTGTCCCAAGCAGATGCTGAATAATGACAATAGACATCTACTAATCATGCGCGATTCATTCGTTTTGTGTAGTAAGTAAAAGTTCATTTGGTAGATATGTTCGACGTATTTTCGATTTGAATTATTCAAAAACGTACCCTGTATTCACAATTTCTTCTCATCGCATATTTATGGAAGATTCTTTTCTTCGTCGAAATCGTATTCTTTATTAAAAGAAACATTTTTTCGGTCTATTAATATTGTTGAAGTAGAGAACAAAGCTATAGTACGATTAAAATGCGTAATTTATGCATAGTAGATTCGTTGCTTGTCTGCTTAATCTTTGAATGAAATCAAAAAGCGTAAAATTCATCATTCAGTTCCGTTTTATCAAATGAGCCTAGTCCTGCGAACTTTCTATTGACAGTATTGAGTGTCCTGTTTTGAATATTTCATTGAGAGAGTATATATATATATTCCAGTTGCTCATATGAGTAAAACTCATTTCAACTACTTGTGTTAGGAGTTCTCCAAGCAAATCAGACTGTTCACGGAGTATGTAAAAGAAGAAAACGGTTATATTCTAGTCGCGTAGATCGATTGCTACTATGACAAATTACATTTAGAGAAATCCGAGCACTTACTTACATCATTCGAAACAATGAAAAACGAAAACTAAAATCGATTTCGTCTCAGTTTTCATTATCTTATTAAAAATAGCTTTGTGCATTATTGAGTACATTCTTTCTTTTCTCGTTATCAATCGAAATCGAAATTTTCATTGATCGATCTTCATTTTGTCATGTCAATATTGACTCGCATGTTATCGGACATGACACATAAGTGTGTGAAGAAATCTTTTTCGATTTGTTTTTTTAGAACCACTAAATCAATAGCATACTTCTTTCGAAAATAAATTACAAAAAATGGCTACTGTCTTTCATCAGACGAACGTTCGCATGTTAAAAAGGAATTTTCTCTCTATCATTAGTCGAAACATACTTTCACAATAATTAGGTCATTACTTCCTTTCTCAAGCGAATAGGTACATTTTCCCCCCTGATTATGTGTGTGTCAATAAAATTGTAAAATCAGCATCGTCATGATTATTTGATGTTCTCCAGCAAGGTGTGGCGTTCTCTTCCGCGAATGAGCCTATTTGTATGTATCCGATCGGCTATGATCAAAGTCATCTGAAATGTGCATCCTGTTCTATTTTTCTAGAAACGACTACAAAACAAATGGATAGGTGTTAAACATGTGTGAAAGCGGAAAACAAAACCTACGAGACTCGTGATCATTGCATATGTTGAAATGAAACTTCCGTTCACATCCAGCGTTCTTGCTCGCAAAAAAAGCAAATCTAACAACGCATATTTGTTGATATCTTCATTAGTTCTTCAAGGTCAGTCATATCGTACTCTATTTTATCAGTACCAAACAAATTACGTATGATACAGATATAAAGGCCATTTGCTCTTTTTTTTGGGCGTCATATTGCATCTCAATAAAAAAATATAATGTAGTTATAATGCATTTGTCTATTATTCCACACTTTCTAATGTTACTGTGTTGGTATTATAATGCAATGTACTTTTCGAATGTGACGATCCGTTGGATAAGCCCCCTCTCTGACAAATTTCATATAGACATCTTGACTCACGATTTCGTAAGGAGAGGAAGTTGAAGAAAGAAAGAAAAAAATCAACATATATATTTAAAGGACGCGTCAAAGGTATAAACATGTACTTCTACACTTGTAATATTTCAGACTGATAATGATGGATAAAATTGTAACATTGATTTTATTAGCGAACCATCTTGATAGGAAATTGATCTGTTATTTGCTTTCTATGACATTCGTCATTTTCTTTTTCTCTCTGCCAACATATTTTCATTCATTTTTGCTTCAATCATTCTGATTACTCATCAATATAGGTAACAATCAAGTCAAGGTGTACAACACGATACAAAA